TCATCATCACTTCCCGAGGATTCATCATCAGTGGCATTCTCAACTAGGCTCTTCGGAAACTCTATACATCCTTCAGTTTCAGAAGTCGCCATGAAAGCAAGGAATTGTTTATGTCCCTCTTCGCCTTGATCTTCGTTGTCACTTTCATCTTTGTCATATTCTGATTCGTCATCCCAAGTGATGGCGAGGGCTTTCTTCTTCTTCAAAAGAGTGGGGCATTTTGAAGCAAAGTGGCCAAATCCTTAGCATTCATAGCATTGGAGTCTTTCAGAATTCCCTTGTATCTTTCCTTTCTCCTTCTTGACTACAGAATTAATTTTGAGTTTATCTTTGCCTTTAGATTTATGAGTATGAGTAGATTCTAAAATATTAGGATTCTTTTTCAAAAAAGATTTTTTAAATTGTTTAACAAAAGCAGCCGTAATCTTGGAATCTATCTCACAATCCTCATCAAAATCCTCTCCAACTCTATGAGCACTACTAAAAGCAATATCTTTTTGTCTTTTTGAAATTCCTATGTGCCTCATAAGTTTGGAGATTTCCAACCAACTGATCCAGCTTGAGGTTGTCAATATCTTGAGCCTCCTCAATAGCCATAACTTTTGGTTGGAACCGATCGGGCAAGGATCTCAAAATTTTTCCCACAACTTTAGATTCTGGTATTTTTTCACCTAAATTGAAGCTGGAATTTACAATGTCGCTTAAATTCGCATAAAATTCATCAAAAGTCTCACTATCTTTCATTGAAAGGTTTTCGAAACTAGATATGAGCCTTTGAAGTTTTGAACGTTTCACAGAAGGAGTGCCCTCATAAACAGTTTGTAAGATATCCCAAGCCTCTTTTGCGACTTCACAATTACAAATACGACTAAACTCTTCAGGTGTGACAGCGCAAAAGAGAGAATTGATAGCTTCACTATTCCAGCTACTATTTTGGTAATCAATTGTGTCCCACTTTTCAATTGGTTTGGGAAAAGTTACTCCATCAACAGTAATTGTTGGTTCGGTCCACCCATTCATGACAGATTGCCAAACTTTTTCATCTATAGATTTCAAAAACGACCTCATCCAACCTTTCCAAAAAGAATAATTGGATCCGTCAAGTAGGGGTGGTCGAACCGTAGAATTTCTCTCACGAATTGAATCCATTATCACAAATCAAACAAGATCTCGTTCTAAAAGAAATTTTTTTAAAAAAAATAGAACAACCTGCTCTGATACCAATTGAAAAATCTAGAAATCCTCTAGATGTTTATTTGTGATTATGTATCAATTTTAAGCAATAAAACAATCCTAATCAAACAATCAAGACAAAATGACACAACGATTTTAACGTGGAAAAACCACAATTGGACACCTCCAATTGTGAAAAAAAACCACAGGCAATAGCCACAAAATAATCCACTAAGAAGATATAAAGGAATTACATAGGTATACTCTCAATTACCTAGCGAATCCACTCCCGAATTGAACCAACCTCTATGTGCCTCTTCCAATCCCGTCATCACCTCGAAATTGTCTTGACGATGAGCCACTCCGGAATCCACCAAAGTTTCAGGCTCGAATTCTTCAGAATCCACCGAAGAACAACTCTCTCTTTTGTGTAAAACAAACAAATAATCCTTTGATGTATACTCTTTAAACCATGAGTTGAATACTCAATTAAAACATCAAAGAAAACTAGCAAAATATCCTCAGATATAAACCTTAGAATCCAAAAAGAAGATCTGGAGGACTTGTCCAAGTATTGGGAGAAAACCAACTACTTATAGAAAACCAAAGTAATCCTAGTTTTGGAAGAAAACCAATTCCTTATAGAAATCTAAGAATCTGTGTCCGCGAGGTCCGCTCGAGCGTGGGAATGTCCGCTCAAGCGGAGGCTTCAAAATTGTGTAATTCATATAGGTTTCACACTGCTTCACGCTCGAGCGGAAGTTTCCACGCTCGAGCGTCGAATCACACCATCCAGTACTTTTTCAGGCGAAGCAGAAATGCTGTGGGCTTGCAATCCCCGCTCGAGCGTCACTTTTCCCACTCGAGTGAGACGACCAAAATTGGAAAATCTAGAAAACTTGATCCTCTTACAACCTCGGTTTTGATCTATGGAAAATGACAAAGGCACGATTCGGGTTGGATTCGCATCTAATAAACTCATACCCTCACTGAAATAAAATGTGCGAAAACAAATACAACTGAAAGGAGTTTTGTCAAACGGGGTTGTCAAGAATAAAACCTAACATGATTGATGTTGTTTTATTCGAAATAAACTTTCTGTCCAAACAATTGTTAATTTTTATTTTACACAATCCCATATTAGGAAAAGAAGGAAAATGTCAGTTGTTTTAGTTATATAAAGTAAACCTCTGTTCCTATTTAATATTGTAGTGTTATGCATATTTTTGTTGAAAACAGTTTAAATTTTAAAATAAAATAAAATTTAAAAGTTTTAATTAATTAATTTTTATGTAAGTTGGTTAGGGTATGTTTGGTAACCATTTTATTTTCAGTTTACAGTTTATATTTACAAAAATTTTAAAAACTGTGCTAAAAAATCGTTTGGTAAAAAAATTGGTTTATAATTCTACTTCTTAGTTTATAATTTTCACCCCAAAAACGGAAACAGGAAAAACGTGTTTTCGTTGATTTATTAAACTGGCATTGTAGCGGAAATTGTTGGCATTTTGACCCTGGTTCAAATCTCCGTAGCACCCGAATTGAATTTATTTTGTCCCAACGTTAAACTAAAAGTTGTATCTCATCTTCCTCCATTTCATTCATGTTGACTTGAACTTCACAGATCAGGTCAGTCTCTCTTCTTTCTCTCTTTCTCTCTCTCTCTCTCTCTCTCTCTGTCTCCCTTCTCTTCTCTCTCTGTCTCCCTTCTCTTCTCTATGTTCACCGACCTTGCTCTCTGTGTTCACCGAGCTTCGATTTTTTTTTCTTTTCTAAAATATTATGTTGCAAACATGCAGATCTTTGTAGATCTGAAAAAAAAATTGATCTCAGGTATCTTTCTTCTCTCTCTCTTGCTATGGTTTGTAGATTAATAGATCTGTCATGAAATCGATTAATGATGAGACAATTTGGGTATGTTTGTTTGTTGACAAATCGATTTCATATGCACTTAGGTCTCTTTCTTCTCTCTCTCTTCGACGGCAGCTTCGATTTCATGGCAACTTTGGGATTTCAGCTGCCATTTGATGGCAGTTTTGGGATTTCATAGCAGCTGAGATCAATTTGATGGCAGCTTCGATGGCAACAAATTGATCTGTCAACAAATTGATCTCAGATCTTTGTAGAGCTGCCATGGTGGTTTTTTTTTTTTTTTTTTTAAACGACAAATCTGTTTTTGCAGATCTTTTGCAAAATTTCCGAACCACATTGATCTCACTCTCAGGTCAGTCTCTCTTTCTCTGTTATGCAAAATTTTGGAACCAGAAATTTGTTCTGCAAATCTGTTCTGCCATGGTTGGTTGTAGATCTGTGCTACATTTTGTAGATCTGTACTATATTTTGTTCTACAGATTTTTTCCGAACCAGAAATCTGTTATGTAGAATTTTTTTTTTGTTTGTAAATCTGTTTTGATAGAGGTTCTGCATATTTATTTTTATTTTTTTTGGTAGATCTGTGCTACATTTTGTTCTTCACTTTAAATTTGGAGTACATAATTGAAATATGTTAGTCCTCGTGTAACTGGTCTTCACTGTAATGAAATCTAGAGAACAAATTTAATCAAGTTAAAAACTTGGGCATGCTTTCATAGATGTATCTATTTGGATCCCTTTAGTTAAAAACAGAGTATGAAAGTTTATATTTGGATCCCTTTAGGCTAGATCAATTTTTACGTTGCTTTATTTGTGGAAAGTGACCTTTTAATTGTCTGCTTAGGTCCTTTCAAACATGTCTTGAGTTTTGATATATATTTCTTCTTCCTTTTTTTTTATTAAAAAAAAGAAAAAGAAAAAAAGAAAACAAACAAACTTAATGAAGAGCATACATCCACAACTTTTCTTTTAATTATAAAAAGGGAAAACCTAATCTCACACATTAAGGGGAGTGATCTTTGGTGTCATCTTCCTTTAATAGAGCTTTAGCTCACTTTATCATCTGATTTGCCTGAATAACAATGTCACAACTTTTAGGTTAGCAAGAATGAGAATTTGTTTATCACTTTTGTTAACTTTTTAGCTCTCTTATTGTTTATCCTTTCATATGACTACTAAACTTTGCCTGTTGCATCTCACTGGGGCTTGACCCCTCAAAAGGTTTCAACTCTATGCTCTAATACTTGCTCACCAATCAAAGTTGAGAGTGAGAGAGAGAGAAAGAGACCAATTCACAGGTTTACTGGTGTCAACTTTTTTTCCTTCTCAATTTTTACTGTGTATAAACAATGATAGAACTTGAACCAATCATCAGATCTTCTTTCTCCATCTCCCCTGTCACAAATAATCTCCCAATCGTATTGTTGTAATGTTGATCTTGATAAGTATGAAGCATTAACAACTCAATCACAAAATATAATTTTTGATATTTTTTGAATTTGGAGTGATGGTATTTTTTATATTTTTTGCACTTGTAACATGTTATCTCTTGATATTTTTGTAATCTGTTATAACCTTCTAATCATAGCAAAATCACAACAATCATGGATATAACTCTAATTTATGGTGTAACCACTAATGTTCACAACCCTCCATGTAAAATTCAGTTGGTTTTAGCTTCAATTGGAACATGAAATCAATTGTCCTAGAGCAAAATCAAACACTTTTAACAGAATGCTAGTATGCTACTGCTGGATTACTCCTTCAAGTAGTCAAAATACAAGAATCTATACAAAGTATACAATATTTACCCCCTACTTTAAAAAGATGACTGCTGTACTAACCCATAGCATATTATTTTAACTGGTGTTTGTTTCTTCAATGCCTCTTCATTTTATTTGACTTACATTTTTTTGAAATTTGTTTATCTATGAATAAATATAGATATTTAGGCAATGGCAACAACAATACACTATGATCTCCCCATTGATGATGATGATGTTGTTGAAGTTGGTAGTGGAAACAGTGGTCCATGGCCTCAGGCAAATGAGGCTCTTTTCATTTCCCTCATGGATGAGGAGGTGAAAACCAAGAATAGTAAAATAACTGGAACATTCACTAAACAAGCTTGGAACAGGTTGAGAGATCAAATGAACACAAAAACCCAATACCAGTATAACGCACACCAGCTTCAAAACAAATACAATCAGCTGCGTATTATGTTCAACAAATTTACATCATTACTAAAGCATACTGGTGTTGGTTGGGATAGCCAGCGACTTACTATCACTGCACCGGATGACGTTTGGGAAGCCCTTTACAAGGTTTAATTAACTTTTTGCATTTTCTTTGCTACATTTAATTGGAGAATTCTTTATGTTAACCTGAAATTCATTGGTTTGTAGGTTAATAGCCATGCAAAGAGGTTTAGGAAGAAAGTGATGGTTTACTACCATGAGTTGTCTCGTATCTTAGGAGACACATCCGCAACTGGTAAACTAGCTTTCCCTTCCACCAAATCACCTTCTGAAAGTAGTGCCAGTTCTGATCCTGAATTTAAGGTAAAGAATGAGGAGTTAGATGCATTGCAAATTGATAGTGATAATGACAATGGAGATGGCCAAGGCAAGGGCAAGGGCAAGGGCAAGAGCAAAATGGGAGGTAAAAAGAGTAAGAAGATGAGCTCTTTTCAATCTAATGTTTCTGAAGCACTCAAAGAAATGAGTGCAAATAGCAAGAGGAAGGTGGACCTAATGGAAAAGCGCTTCACAAGTGCTTCAGTTACTAATGTTGGCGATGACAGTGGTTCAATTGAAGGTGGTTCTACTCCCTCACGTTCATTATTGAAAGAGAGCATGGCACTATTGCATGGTATGGAGGAAATTCCTGCTCCTGCTTTCACTAAAGCTGTGAACAAGCTTGCATCGGATCCCATAATAAGGGAGGTATTTGTTGATATGCCTGCTAGTAGGATGAGGGATTGGGTCCTTAATGTTTGAAAGTTATTCTGAGAGAGTGCTACAGATTTAGTGTGGTATTTGTTTGTGTTGTTTAATTTATTACTAACGTTGGATAATATTTGGTAGTTTATTGTGGAAACAGACTTATTATGGAAGTTTATATTTGGTACTGTATTTTATATTTGGTGCTGGAACAAATTTAGTAGTGTATTGTTGGATAATATTTGGTGCTGTAACAGACTTATTGTACTTCTTATTTTAACAGACTTAGTGTATTCTATGAACAAGCTTGTGTTGTTGGATAATATTTGTTCTTGTAACAGACGTATTATACTTTTTATTTTATTTTATTTTATTTGTTTAAGAATTATTTATTATGGAAACAGAGTTAGGTGTATCCAACATGTTTTTAATATTGTACTGGAATGGTATTATGGAAACAGAGATGGGTAGATGGGTAGATATAAAATTGAAGGTGGTTCTGGAATGCATTTGTACTGCAAAGCTTCTCATTCCTATTTTTGAACAATGCTATTGTACTGGTATACAGGCTCTTTTTATTATGGGAGTTTATGGTTAGTTGAAGTATTGAAGGATCTTCTCCTATATAATGTTTGTTATTAGTCATTCCAAGTATTTTTTATGTCACTGCATTGTCAACATTGCATGGGAAGCATTGTCAACATTGTTTTATATCACTACATTCTCAACATTGCATTGCAAGGTATGTATGATCTTCTTCTATAAAAAAATTCTTATGCACTGCATTGTCAACATTGTTTTCTCCATTACCTGTTCGATGAAATGTGTTAATGTGTCTGGATTATTGATACTGTTGTAGTTTGAATTAACATATTATTTTCTATTATGTTTTTTCTTGCCCATAAATTTTATATCAATTTAACTACTGGGTGCAACAAATTGTTTGAGTTTTTGGAGTTTTATTTTTTATTTAATTTTTTTGGTGGCTTATAAATGTCTCTGTAGAAACCAAGAATATTGAAATAATACATCTGGAACAGATCCAAATAGAAACTTCGCAACATGAACAAAAGCATAATTTGGTACATATTCCCAATGCTTTACCAATTCATAGTCTGGTCACAATTCCAAACAGCAATTTTCCCCTAACAATCATCAACATTTAGAACAGCTAGCATTGAATTTCAGAGAAACATTTCACATATGCGTTTTTAATGGAAACATAAGACAAGTTTCCTCCTCTTTTCACCAAATGAATCATTAGTACCCCCAACAACAACAAAAGACCATAGAATCACCATTGGAATAAGATCACTTTTTGCTAATTTTTAACACCAGCATATGTCCAAAAAACAAAAATAAAATGCATTGCATACTCTTTTTATATATAATAAGACATTTTCTGCAACTAGACTAGGACTAAAATAATACTAAAATGTTGTTAACAAGGCCTTCTTTTTCAACTAGACCAATACATCTCACCACTCCAATGCCTCAACCTTGCGACTCCATTTCACTTCTTTTTTTTTTTCTTCGTACTCTTGCTCCTGCCATCCTTGCCGGATTTTCAACGAAACCAAGCCTCCATTTTGCTTCAAATTTTTTTAATTGCTTCACGAAAGCATCTATCTCAAAATTTTGTCAAGGGAAACCTGACATATTTGCTCAGACTTTTGACCCTCTCCATAACCCACTCGAACACTTCTTCCTCCATTCCCTTTATAAGAACAATGGTAGGTTTTTCCACCATCATCACCACCAAATCTAATGCAATAGACCCACAAGAACTTTCCACACGATCATTGGCTTCCTCTCTGACCAACAAACTCTTCTGTGGTAGGACCGTTGTTTGGGCTTAAGTCCATAACTTGAACAAAAATACCCTCATCTCTAATCAAGACCTCCAATGTACTAGACCAATAAAACTACTTGGGCCTATACCTAAAAAAGAATCAATTGACTTTGTAGCATATGTCACCGCTCCCATATTTCTTCTTTGGCTTGGGCACTATTGACAAGAGGAACAAAAGAATGAGCAAGAAAAAGCCACCAAAAATTATTTTAATTATTTGCGTAATTGACATGAAATTATTTTAATTATTTTAAAGTGACATGAAATTAAAGTACTATTGAATCATCATAGTATACTAGATAAAATAAATTTTGTTCTTCATTTTTAAGTTGCGTAATTGACGAATTTGTTCCTCCATCACCTTTAACCTTTTCATTATTCTTCAACAAGATAATAATAATAAAAAAAATTTACTAGAATGTTATGGTTCATAAAGAGGATCAAAGGTTCAAATTTCATGGATAAAAAATAACAAATTCTTATATTATTGTTCAGATCAGATCGCATACTTTGCTAATGAATGTGATAGCAAATTTGGGATTACATGGCTTATACAATTTTCAAGTTAATTGGTTTGTTTCATCCTCACCAACATTTGAATTGGACCACACAATGTCCTCAGAGAAATTTTCAAGTGAAAGAAAAAATTCAATATGTATGGAGCCAACATTTGAATTGGACCAAACAAAATGGTTACCAAACTGAAAAAATTCAATGAAAGAAAAAATTATTGTGTGACCATTATTTCATGCATTTTCATTATCACTAATACTTTTGTTTTTAAGGCATCAACACAATGTCACAGTGATATATATGGAGCCGATGCATGCTCTTGATTTGAGTTTTGACTCAAACAGTGGCGATGAAAATATACAATTTCTGGTGTGTGTAGCATTACATGAGTATTGTAATACTTACCTTCAACCTAGACCATGCTGAACGTCCATATTACAAGGACATGACTATGTGTTAGAAATATTGAATGGCCATGAAAGAAGGTCCAAGGAAAATTTTAGAATGGAACCAGATGTATTTATTAATTTGTGCGAGGCACTTAAGGTATATGGTAAACTGGAACACTCATGTTATCTGACTGTCCAAGAGCAAGTTTGTATATTTTTGCTAACAATTGGTCACAACGAACGAATTCATGTTGTCCAAGAGCGATTCCAACATTCTGGGCAGACCATCTCCAAATACTTCAACCGAGTCTTGAAGGCAGTGTGTAGGCTTGGTAAACAAGTTATAAGGCCTCCAGATTTTGATAAGGTGCCTGCAGAAATTCGACATAATCCACGTTTCTATCCTTTTTTTAAGGTAATCACTAACAGAATATTTGAAGTATAAATTTTAGTAAAATATCCTGCATTATTAAAGTCATTTGTCAAATAGGATTGTGTTGGAGCAATTGATGGTACCCACATATCTGCAAGGGTGCCAGCATCAGAGCAAATACCATATCGGGGTAAGCATACAGTTACAACGCAAAATGTAATGTGTGTTTGCTCATTTGATATGCGATTTACGTATGTATTAGCCGGTTGGGAGGGCATTGCAAATGATTCAAGAGTGTTCATTAAAACTGTACATGATCCAGCAAATTTATTTCCAATGCCACCAACAGGTACGTATTATATGGTATTTTGTTAATTTATAATGATTATTCTTTTGTCAACCCATAATAATAGATACATACATGTTGAACAGATAAATACTATGTTATCGACTCGGGTTATACAAATATGCCTGGCTTTTTATCGCCATATTGTGGTGAGAGGTACCATCTAAATGAGTTTCGTAATCAACGTCGACAACCAAGAAACAAGAAGCAAATGTTCAATTACCGACACTCCTCACTGCGCAATGTGATTGAGAGATGCTTCGGTGTCTTGAAGGCTCGTTTTCCAATTTTGAGAGACATGTCTCCATATTCAACTAAGACGCAGAGATACATCCAGATTGCATGTTGTACAATACACAACTGGATAAGAATACATTCTCAAAGTGACACATTGTTCGCTGAATGGGCCAATCCAGATCGTATCGTTGAAGATGATGGGCCTAGTGGAGGTGGTAGTGGCAGCTCGACATATGGAGGAAGTAGTTCTCAGCAACCAATTGACTTAGACATTAGTCAACCTCAACTATGTCACATGTCTGATGTAAGGAATCAAATTGCTAGTCAAATTTGGGAATCTATTGAAAACAATTGAAATATTATTTATGCGTATAAAAGATTGTGGAAGATGTTTTTTTATGGTTTGTGGAAGAATTGAGATGTTATTATTATAGTTTGTAAGTTGTTATGAACATTATGGTTTATTATGGTTATTAAATTTATCTATGGTTGGTATTGTATCAATATGATTATTATGGATAATGTGTATGATCCTATTGTCAAAAAAAAATTAAAAAAAAAAAAGTGATCCAAGCCATTTAGAGGAAGATGATTCAGTTCGGATAGGGGCAAATGATGAAGTAGGTTAGGCGGTTGCAAATAGTTTGCGATTGCTGCTTTGCGATCGCAAAAGTATTTGTCACCCCCACATTTGCGACCCTCATTTGCCGTCACATAGGCCGTCGCAACAGGTCTTTTGCGATTGTTTTTTTATTATTTGTGACGGTTTGTAACGGTCGCAAAAAGTATTTTTTTACCATATAGAAGCTCTCAAGGAGTGTTTTCGTATTATAGTAATATAGATACATAAAGTTTAAAATACAAAAATATCCACTGGCAAATAAAAAAAATACGTTTTCACAGCCCTATAGTTGTTGAATTATGATTGTTAGAATATTATTATTATTATTTTTTATATTTATAAATAATTTTTTATAGAATGATAAAAAAATAAAAAGTCATTGTGATTGCATGATACGGGTCATGCAAAGTATTGTCATGAATGACCAATGAATGATTTTTAATTATAAAATACTATATTCTAAGGATTGAGATATTAGAATAAACTAACCAAAGTAACTTTTTGCATGCAAATATGCTTCTATATATCTTGGATGGTATGGGAGGATTTTACAAGAAAAATATAAATGGTTTGTAATAAAGGGGAAGGGGAGGGGGGGGAAGGGATATTGGAGTGAATTAACAGAAATAATTTTTTTGCATATAATTTTTATATGACCATCAAAGTTTTAATCCTGTAATATGTGGATTATGGATCTATCACGCTTATTGGCTTACCTTTTATATGTGAAGTAATTGAAATAACAACAAATTGTATATCAAGTTAATTATTGGCTTATACATGCTTTTTATATGTGAAATAATTGAAATAACAACAAATTGTATATTAAGATCGGTGAGAGGGTTTATTCTTATCAAATTATGGTGTCAACCCCAGGTAAGATAGGACTACAGCAGCTACCAAAAGAAATTAATCGTAAATTCTTCTAATAGTATACCAAAGGAGGGTAATGACAGGAAGTCTAAATCCTAAATCTTAATTTAAAATTTAAATAATTAATAATTATAAAATTTGTTACTGGTTTGAATTATTTTATTAAACTTATAATAAATTGTAATTTTTCAAAAAAATAAAAATATTATTACACATTTATCATATCTAATTATGTCATTTTTATGAATAAGCTAAATTATTTGGCTTACAATTTTAACCTTCATCCTAGTATGAAATTAATAGGGAAAATTACTAATACATCCTTAAATCCAAATGTATTGAAGTATAAGGTCTCTAAATTTTTAAATTTTAGAAGCTCCAGTTACTTTCAATGTTTTTATATATTTTTGTTTGCCTAATATGCCCTTGTGCATTTCAACGTTTTTATATATATTTTTTACCTAATATGCCCTTGTGCAATCAAAACGTCTTCTGTGTCATTCCTAAATAATCATCTTCTTTTGAGCTAACAATAACTGATTTACAGTTTTCCCCTCTAACATGAATTGTATTCTACTATAAACTCTCCTCCCTAATGATAATCTTAACAAACTACGTGATGCATCTAGCAATCATGGTAGCTATCTACAGTTTTCCCCTCTAACATGAATTCTATTCTACTATAAACTCTCCTCCCTAATGATAATCTTAACAAACTACGTGATGCATCTAGCAATCATGGTAGCTATCTACTATCTTCCAAAATACTCTTCGTATAATGGTGATCGACCCTTGAAGGTGCCTTTGAGTATGTAATAATATTGAAGTGTGTATTGTAGAATCATCTTAATGTTAATTGCTCTCTTTTATTTTTTATTTTTAAATTTATTCAGTATGGAGTCCCACAAGAATATAAATATTTATTATTCCTTTGAAGAACTTAGAGTTGTTGGGTAATTGTTTTTCAAAATTTAGTTTCCTTCCGAACTCCAAAGAAAAATGCTACATATTATCATATTTTTTACTCTTTCTTATTTGTCACTTCTTTATATAAGTGGATAGGATCTGCATGTATTTATTAATGTCTATCCTATTACTTTGTATCCAAGAGTAGGGCAATGAGTTAAAGAATGAGATTGTGTATAGTAATGCTCATCCTCAAATCATCTCTATAGGTCAGAGAAATTTTACTAAGTAAGGGGTTGTTTGGAAAGTGCTAAATTAGTATACTTTTTTATTTTTTATTTTTTAAAAATGTGAAATGTGTGTTGGGGTTGAAGTGATGTGGTAGAGAGATGATATAATCTAAAGAAAATGTGATGTAACTCAAATAAGATGATTGTGACCCAAATACGATGATGTACTAAAATACACATGCCAAACAACACCTACTTAAAAGTTAATTACAATGACATTTAAATGATTTTTGAAATTTCTCTGATTTTAGTTGGTGAAATTTATATGGCTTTTAGCTAGTGAAACTTGAAGTCAACTATAACGACGTTTAATTGATTTTGTTGAAATTTCTCTGACTTTTAGTCTGTGAAATTTCAGTTTGAAGATATCAAACTTGGTGAAAATTTCACCACTTTTTTTTTTCCAGTGAAACTTAAAGTCAATTACAGTGACATTGAACTGGTATAGTGAAATTTCTCTGACTTTTAATCGTTGAAAGTCAGAGAAATTTCTTTGCTTGAAGATAACAACTCAGTGAAAATTTTGTTATTTTTTCCTTTAGAATTTCATATTCATCACATGAATATTATTTGATGGATCTTGATGGAAGAATTCTAAAAATAAAAATTTTATGCAAAATGAAGATGTTGGTAAAAAGTTATTGAATTTTAAGTTTTGAAATCTATTACAAAAATGAAAACAAAGTTTGCTGAATGTGTTTGCCTGTTTCAAGCAATAAGGGTGTTCTTGTCCAAAAAATTATAACATACTATAATAAGACTGGAACTTTGAAGTTTTGTTTTGTGTTATTTAAACTAGTAAATACTTATGATGAGCTAGAAATAAAATTCTCAAACTAATAAAGAAGTTAATCATATTATCAATAAGCTTAAATGTTTTCTGATTTGAATATTCTTTTAACATTTGATAGAACAAAAACAAAAATCAATAAAAAAGAAAATAGAACCTCTATATAGTTTCCACTTGCACCGTACATGGCGAAGGAGAGTGGAGAAAGGGGTTGGTGGCAATTTATGTGTTTTCTCCATCACAAATTTAAAAAAGCATGAATTTGTGATTACTTGTTATTCTTCTTTTCAAAAGTTATACCCCAACTTAAATACTATTTTCCCTACCAAAAAAAAAAAAAAATGCTGCACAATTGAGTAATCTATCATAACAACATTTTGTATCTCACAATTCAAATTATCTAAACCAAAAATAAATAAAAATAAATAAATCAACATATAAGTATACAAATAAAGGGATTAAAAGGCAGAAACACCATGTCCCTAATGATGACGGTGGAATTTACTAATTTCCAATTCCTTATCTTCTCCTCCACTTTCTCAACAACCAAACACCAATTTTCACTAGCATTGATTGAAATCCAATTGAACTGAATTTTTAATATATATATATATATATATATATTTCATTTCACATACCCAAAAGAAGAAACAGAGTAAAGAAGAAGAGAAGAGAAGGGGGTACATTCCAGAGACCAGGTTCTAGGCTGTAATTTCCTCAGCAGAAGAAGAAGAAGACGAGGAATTTGCAGATGAGAGATTAATCTCCTCTGTTTTTTCTTTTATAGCTCTGACCCTTAAGAGATTTAAGTTGGGTTTGGACCTAGGATGTGATCAAGAAGCATTGTTGAATTTCCCACTATTTAATAAGGAAGTAGTAGAGAAAGTAGTGGGAGGGGGACTAGCAGACGTATAGTGGTGATTTTGTTTGCTGAAGTAGTTGGAGGGGGACTAGCAGACGTATGGTGGTGATTTTTAGATACCGTTTGGAAGAATTTTAAAATTACGATTTGAGAATATAGTTATATTTTGAGTTTGTGAGTTTTTAAATTATTATTTGTGTAAAAAATTTGTTTGGTTATGACTTTTGAAAGAGTTTTGAATTGAGTTTGAAATTTTTGATCCGATATATAATATTTAATTAAAAGACTTACAATTTATATTCAAAAATACAATCTAAATTCTATTCAAAACTCATAAATTTTTTTTAAAAAATTCCGAAAATATTTTTTTATTTAAAATATAAAAATAACAGGTGTAAAAAAAAAAAAAAAAAAAAAAAGAACACTGCTCCGGTCAACCAACTGGACGACCGGTGGGACGTGTAGAGGTGTTTGTAAAAGTGGATGTAGAATCAATTTTTGAAAACTATAACCAAACACCACACTCAAACCAATGGATGAAAAATTTAAAAACCTTTACTAAACAGAGCCTTATTTTTTCTCCCTCCACAAACCCTCACTCAATTTTATTTTTTTTCCCAAATACAACCTTAGTGGATTAGAAAATTGTTTTTCATGCATCCTGTTATTAAAGTGCATCAAGTAACCGTGATCCAAAAAATAAAATAAAAAAGCGCATCAAGTAACCACATTTAGAGGGAATTACTTTTTACTTCAATTGTGATGGCTCCACAAAGGATGACTTTGGGGATCTTGTTTTTACTCGAAGCCATAAATATGAACTTTTTTTGGTGTTGGTTCTATCTTTTGATCTTAAAAATTATATATTCATTCTTGTTTTATGTGCTTGATGCCAATATATTTGAATATGATAAGGGTATTGATGTTGCAAAGGACCATGGTATTAATTATTAGGTAGAGCTTGAGATAAAAAATAAAAAATAAAAAAAGAAAACATCTTGATGGAGCAAGC